TATATATTATATTTTAAATTTATATTTACTTTTCATTTTATCATATATAATATTTTTTATTATTCTGAATAACACTATCTATCATTTCAACTTTATCACATTAATTTACTTACCATATTACCATTATCAGATTAATTTATTATTTATTTAGAAAAAAATCCATTTGTTTTAAAAAATAAATTTTTGTTATTAAATTTTGAATTAAATATACAATACAGTTTTGTTAGTTTTGAAACTTAACCTTATTTTTTATAATTCTTTGTTCGGTATAACACGATTTCGCATAACGCAGCATATATTTAAAAATTTAAATATATATTATTTTACATCCTTTGAAAAATGTTATATATTTATCGTATATCATTATAACATTATATATAGTATATTTTACCATGAAATATAAACATACATATTAGTAATAAATATGGAAGCAAATTTAGATATCTTTTAGACAACAGAAACGTACTTAATAATTTTTAGTGAAATTGAATTGATTTATTTTGAATTTAATACATTTTATTATCTAAGAAATTATAATATTTTGTTAATAATATATATATATATTTATGTATACTTTATATATATATATATATATATATATATATATATATAAATTATATGAAATAAGTTCGTAATATTATACACGTATATTTCGTGTATATATATTTTCAATTAATCATATAAAAATTTAAATTACAACATACATAATATAAAATGACATCTCGAGAAATATTAACTATTCAATTAGGTCATTATTCCAATTTTATTGGTACTCATTGGTGGAATATACAGGTATTTTCAAATAATATATTAATCATAAAATTATAAGATATAGTATATAATAATTTTTAATCTTTATTTAAATATTTTTAGGAAACTAATTTCTCTTATGATCCTGATAACCCATCAGAAATAAATAATGATGTATTGTATAGAGAGGGTGAAAATTTAAAAGTATAAATATATAGAAATATATTTCAAAAATATAATATAAAAGTTTATAATTTTTTTCTAATTGAATTATAATTTTTTTCAGAAACAAGTTACTTATACTCCCAGATTACTTCTTGTAGATTTGAAAGGAGCATTTGGATATTTAAAAGAAGAAGGTTCTTTGTATGATACTCAATCAAAAGAAGTTCAACAATCCTTATGGGATGATGAAAAAGTGGAGATCTTAAAAGAAGAAACAATTGATAAACCTCAGTTTATTAAAAGTTTAGATGAACCATCTACAACCTCAGATGCAGCATCAACATCATTTAATTTGGAAAATAATATTAATTCATGGGTAGATTATCTATTACCTAGATTTCATCCTAGAACAGTGAATGTCATTAAACAATATAGACACAATGACACAATGCATCCATTTAATGTTTTTACTTATGGAAGTAATTTATGGAATACGGAACAATTTTCAGATGATTTTTCAGAAAGAATAAGAGCATATGTAGAAGAATGTGATTTAATGCAAGGTTTTCAGGTAAGTGATTATTTGTATTTATGTAGGTAATTTATAATATGTTATTTTAAAATATTTTGAAATTACAGGTAATTTTAGATTCTGTGGATGGTTTTGCTGGAATTGGAGCATCATGCATACAATACTTAAGAGATGAATATGGAAAAAGTATAGTGTCATTTCCATGTATGGACAGTAAAAAATCTGAACCTTCCACATCCAATATGATTAAGATACTTAATACAGCTTTATGTTGGCAACATTTAGGAGAACATGCTTCATTATTTAGTCCACTCTGTTGTGCACAAACTGTTTGGCCAAAAATTGGAGATCCACGAATATTTAACTATTTAACATATAATTCTGAATTAAAATATCATAGCAGTGTACTTTTAGCAACTGCTTTGGATACATTAACTATTAGATATAGACGAAAAGAATATCCAAACGTGGTTTTATCCGATTTATGCGCAGATCTTAACAAAATGGGTAGAAAAGCAGTCTCAACAAGTTTAACTTTACCATTCCCAATGAATGCAAAAACAGATTTAATTGATGTACTTGATAATTTTGAAGAACATTTGTGGACAAGTTTAACACCAAATTGTGATATATCAATGGATAAAAATATGCAAAGCATAGTATTACGAGGAATTCCTGAAGAAAGATTAAAACAACCTATTTCTCATGCAATGAAACAAATATCAAAACCAGCATATAGATGTTCTACTGTACATGAAATGATGATGCTTTACTTATCATGTAATAGTCATGCATCAGCAACGTATTTATCAAATATTTCATTACCATTGAAGATAAGATTTCCATATCCAAATATTTTCAATAATAATATTACTGAAACCGGAGATATTATTGATTGTCCTTGGAGGTTATTAGTAGGAACAGGTAAATAAATCATATAAAATTTTTTTATATTATATTTAATGTTTATAAATTTTCATTAATTTTTATTTTAGATGTACAATCTGTTCCTGTTATGGCTGGTTTACATAGTGGAAATAATCTTAGTGCAATGTATGAGTCTTTACATAATCAGTTAAATAGAATAAAGAGTATAAAGAAATTTCATGTATTTACAGACTCTGGTTTGGAAGAAGATGAATTTAATGAGTGTCTTAATCATTTGCTTGATTGTAAAGAAAATTACGAAGATCATTACATTTAAATATTACTAACTTTATTCATTACATATATTCTTTTATAAAAACCTTAACTCCCTATTATTTTGTATTTCATTTTTATTACATATGTAATTATAATCATGAACGTATTTTGCAAGAAGAAAATCGACATAACATTAATTAAAAAAAGTAAATGCATACTGTTAATTAACTTTTTTCCTCAACTTTCTGATTAAAAGGTTCTTAAAAGTGGGAGTGCCAAGACACACCCTTATTATTAGATTTCGTATTGAACATTGGAAGTGCGAAAATTCAGTTGTAAGCTTTAACCGGTAAGTGAAACACTGTGATATAATACGCAGATAAAAAAAATTATCTGTATATCATTATTATTATTAATTAAAATGGGAAATAAAATAGCTACATTTACCGAAGAACAACTAGAAGATTATCAAGATTGCACCTTCTTTACTCGTAAAGAAATCTTAAGGTATATACATATACATATAATATATACAATTATCGATCTATTCTTACATCCATATATTTCTAGAATATTTAAACGGTTTCGGGATATGGGGAATCCTGGGACAGTTCCACGATCCATGACACCTCAACAAGCATCGACACTTCGTATACCACTATCTTGTTTAACACGCATACCAGAATTAAAGGTGCTTGGATTAATCTTTTCACATTATTTATTTTTACAATATTGAATCTATTTTCAGTTTAAATTTCCCACTATGACATACGACTAAAATTCATAATGTTGTAGGAAAATCCGTTTAGACAACGAATTTCAGAGGTATTTACGAATTGCAAAAATTCAAACCAATCAACACACGATGGATCAAACGAAGGAATTTGTTTTGAGGAATTCCTTGACATGATGTCAGTTTTTTCGGAACAAGCACCACGGGATTTGAAAGTCTTTTATGCCTTTAAGATTTATGGTATGAACTAATCTAAATCAAACAATAAGATCAATCGTAAAAATTCATATTTATAGCTATTGAATCAGAAATATATATTATATATCTAGACACGACATTCGTATTATACGAAAGAATTACTTTGTATTTGTAGAAGGATTATCGATTTTCTCGTGAATACTTATAATGAATTATAATTATATGTTGTAATTCAATTCAGTGGTTCAAATGAGTTTCAATTGAATTTGATTTCATTATTATTTATCGATTAAATTATTTTAATTTATTTTTGAATTTTGATGAGATTTCATAATTTTTTGTGAATAGATTTTGACGAAGATGGAGTATTGGGGATGAGCGATTTAGAATGTACATGTCGACAATTGGTTCAAGATGGTTTGAATACCGATGAAGTGGCTACTGTATGTCGAAAAATTTTGGAGGAAAGCGACATTGATGGTGATGGTGTTTTATCTTACCTAGAATTCGAACATGTCGTAACAAGGGCCTCAGATTTCATGGCGAATTTTCATATAAGAATTTAATTCTTATTGCTTTCGAAAATAAAAAATAAAATTTACTGCCATGAAAATTTAATGAAAATTCACGTCTATTTGCTCTTTTTATTTTTATTATACATATTATTGTATATATAACATTACATTCTTTTATTCATGAATTTCAGATTAAGAGATATTCGGCATATTTGGAAAACGAATCATACATCTTTGATATTTTATTATGCGTTATATGTACTTTAAGTAATAAGTAATAAGTTTTGCAAACTCATGAAGGATAATTATTAACTCCATGAATCTATACAAGCTTAGTGAAGCGCTAACATATAGTTTCTTGCGAGTAACAGATATACTTTCTTATATGGCTCCATAAGTCGCCCCTGTTGAGCAATAACGAGCAATGCTGACTAAATAACCAGGCCATTCATTTTCACTTCAGACAGAAACCTCCTATAAGTTTGCGAGTCGAGTCTCCAATAACATTTTTTATACGAAGATAATCAAGATTACGTTATTCGTGGGACATCAATTCTGAGGATCAAAAATTATTAAATTATAAATAATTTAATTTTGCATTAGATGAAGATAGAAAGCGTCGAAAAGCAATTTCATTATATTTATATCTCATTTCATTTAACGCAATTAAATTGTTTATAATTTAATAAATAAGCCATAATTATTCTTATATTTTTGTTCCTGTTTTGATCTAATTTAAAAATGTTCCAGAATTATATATTTATATCCTGTAACGAAAAATTAAGGAGAAAAAAATCAAGGAAGAACTTATGTAATAAAATTTGATTTATTTTAAACGTTTTGTTTTATCAAGATTTAAAAAAAATAAATTGAAAAATTATTATTTTATCACGTTAACGAGTAATTTCGTATTTCTAAGAAAAATATTGCAAATCAGAGGAAATTAATAATGATACGTTCATGTTTAAACGAAGAAGAAAAAGGAAGTAAGGAAAGACTATGATTATTGTGTGTCATTCTAAATATAATGTACAGAAAGAAATACACTATGCACCATTTTCAGCAAAGATGATGATTGTTTTGCACGGTATGATCCATAGTTTAGGGGTTAGTTTTGTATCTGTAATATGTTACATGGTATCGCGGTTGTTTTAAAAAGCGGTCGAAGTCGAAGATACCGCCCTGTGTGTTACGAAGTTCTCGACCAGTTATAGTCGGCCGCACAGTAACTAACCAAGTCTTGGGACCAAGGCCATCCGGTCACTTCTCATCCTTCTCTCTTCCCCGCTTGCATCCCTGCCGTTCTTCTTGCTGACTTGTCCAGAGGCCCTCGGGGTCCGAGAAAGCCCCCTTGCCTCTTGAGTCCACCGTCGACACCCTCTGCGCATGAGCCCCCTTCCTCACCTCCTCAACTCATTCCTCGCTTCTGCGGTCTCTCTCAGCGGAGGATCACCGCTCTCGGGAGAGTCTCCCCCTTAAACATCTTAGCCGAC